GGTTACGTACTACTTAGTTGGTTTGGTTAGTAGTACCTACCAAAAACGTAAAAGTAAACGTAAACCTAAACTAACTAACTACCTAACCAACAACACACTCTCTCTCTCTCTCTCTCTCTCTCTCTCTCTCTCTCTCTCTCTCACACACACACACACACACACACACACACAAATCCAACACCTTTGCAGCTACATCTAACAATTACACCCAAAACCATATCCAGGCAACATAACATAGACCAAATCAAACCCCACCCCCCCAGCCCCCCCAAAAAAAAAAAATCAGTTTTCGACCGACTTATATAGAGGTGGCCTGCCCGTTTTTTAAGGATTGGATCAGAATTTCCATAATCTGACTTCTTTCCCAGTAATAGCAATACTAAATTGTGCTTATTTCTCTCCTCTACTTTTGTTTCTAACCTCCCAATAGCTACATTTGTCATATAATATATGGTATACAGAATCCTATTAAAGAAAAAATGGCCAGTCAAAAACTATTCTATTAACCTATGTACCCATTGCATTTCTAGGTTTAAAAGTTTAGATATTATAATTTACCTCAATGGTGGATGGTTAGCCATACTGTTTTATAATAAACTTTTAGAGATTATCAACTAAAATATTATTGAATATGGATTCTCCAACATGTAGATAGGGCTATAATAGCCATACACACACATAAAAACATATATAAAAAAGATGAAAAAGTGCCGATGGGGAGAAAAGATGAAGAGCTCTACCAATGAAAGAACCATCACAAATAACAAAACAAGCAAAGGGAAGAAAAATATGCAATTAATTGATTGACCTGCAAAAGTGCATCCATGAAAGTTTTGAACTTCACGGGACTGTCCTCCATGAATATCAACCAGCCAATGGTGTAGTAAAAAGTTGTTCTACTACGTGAGCATTTGTACTCGTCAAGAAATGGAAAATTCTCCCTCTGTAAATGAATGTAGTGAGAGATTAAACCCATTGCTTTTACGAATACTAAACAAAGTTGGGTATGCAACACAAAAAACAGAAGGGCAAGGGAATTTATAATTACTGTATGATGCCCAATAATGTACTTGATAGTATCCAACTTGAGAAGCAGTTTTCCTGTCATATATCTGCACAGCTTATAATATTATTTATACATGAAAAATAAGATGCAATGAAATCATACTATATGTAAGGCATAAGTAAGCTACTCAATTCCACATTAAGCAGGAAATTATGGATCCATGGCCAAGAATCAGACCCTGAAGCCAGCTCCAAGAACAGAGTTAAAGTGTGCTCAATAACCTCCTCACACTGCACAAGGATCATAAATTAATTGATGCAAGTCGAAGACATAATCAAAATACCAAGAGTGCTGTGCAAGACATGTACCTCTGTGTAGCACTTAAGATTTGTAGCGATTTTCCCAACAATGACATTAAGCAGCACAAGATGATCGTGGAGACCTAGAAGCTCAGATAGCCGAGCATACAACTGCTGTAACATAACAGAAAAGCATCAAAAGAATGTCAACAGAAAAAAATCATGTTATCACAAAAAGCTAAATGGACTTATATATTTACCTTTGATGAATGCATTGCCTGATCACCAACATATGATTTTCTGAAATGCTGAAAAAATGTAAGTATAGCCCGATCAAGCCTTTGCTTACTTATTTTATCGCACCTCTGTAAAAAAGAAACATATCAAGAAAATGCATTTGTCTAAAATAGAATTCACAAGGGAGGACACAAAAAAGAACAGAATAAAACAGAATTTGTAAAAGAAGATACATGGAACAAGTCACTAATTATTAAAAAAAAAAAAAAAAGTCACTAATAGAGATAGAAGAAGCCCATGGCCATTAGTTCGGTTGTGTGACACATGATTTTTATGCGGTTCAAGAGTTCTAGCTTTGACAGTCAGCATTCCACAGAGGGTGCAGCGTTGGATAGATTTGCACCAAGGTACAGATATAGCCTTGATCAATGATCTCCGAAAGTGAAAGAAACAAAATTTTGAGAGATCACTACAAAGTCGAGACCTCAGCCAACCTCAAAACCACCTCCCATAAAGATTTCCCTAAAAGAAGGAGCTTGAAGCAAATCCCAACTGAAAAAGAACTAATCCTTCATGGCTGCACACAAGGACAAAACTACTAAGCAACTGCCTTCCAAACTGTGGATTTATGCCCTTTCAATTGGCTCTTGACTTCAGTTGGAGTATTAGAGTGACATGAAGCTAGGATCTTGAACCACTGGGACCAAGAGTCATGGACCCCAATTATGTCATGAGGAGGTTTTATATATGGGAGGTACCGAGAGGGTTGAGGGTTACCTTTAAGTCAGGGTCGTTTTTTATGTTTGTGCCTCATGACTAAGCAAGGTTTCAAAAAACTCTAGGCGGCCTACCTGGTGCCCAACACTTAGGCGGGCGCCCAGAACCTTCGGCACCCTGTAGTTTTTTTCACTTTGGGGGTTTTCATATATTGAGGGGTTTTTTCTTCTTTTTTTCACTTTGGTGTTTAAAAATAAACCGCATAACATTTTTATATGGCCTTGGGGGTCAAAATGACCCCCATTGCCATTTTGAGCAATTTAAAAAAACGAAAAAGGCCTTACGGCCTTGGGCACCTGCCTAGCTCGCTTGGGTGCCCGCCCAGGTACATCCGCCGGCGTAGGGCCGCTTGGGTCTAGACGTGCAGATTTTTGGTCCAGGCTACCTAGGCGCCAGGCGGAGCATTTTTTAAAACATTGTGACTGAGTGATTGGCTGAGGTAATACGATTTATGTACGAGCTTGATGACTAAAAGCCTTGTATGGGAAGCTTAGCGCCAATAGAGGACATTGGCCTAAATCCCTGATTGCTACAAATCTTCTCGTAGCATGTGCATGTATAGTCGCGATGCAAGGGAAGTCGCTCTTCCAAGGATCCACTGGATAGAGCTATGCACATATGCCAAGAGAGGAACCTATGGCATGTCCTCTAGGGGGTGCGCCTGAAATCCGATTAAACTTGGGGATTCAGAGTCGCACATCGGTTTAACTTTGATAGGCTAAGATCATGAGCCCCTGATTATACACTGTGGGTCATGAGTCTGTTAAGTCCATAGTTGTTGGAAACGCCTGAAAACCCAAATCATTTCAGGAACCGGAATCGCGCTTGGCTAGATGTTTCCCCTTTGTAAGAATCCTTGTCCGTACAATAGGAATCGCTGGGAACGAGATTCCTAATTTTCAAGAATCGAGTATCGATCGGAATAGGTCCAAGTTTCATCCACATATGGAATCGAGATTCCGGCCTCCTTGGAATCGAGGTTCCCATCCCCTTGGGTTCAACACTCCAAGTATCAAGTTTCATTAATATGCGGAATCGAGTTTCCATCATTTATGGAATCGAGTTTCCGACATATGCGGAATCAAGTTTCCACCATATATGGAATCGTGTTTCCGACATATGCGGATTCAAGTTTCCATCATTTATGGAATTGTGATTCTAACATATTTGGAATCGAGTTTTCATCATCTATGGAATCGTGTTTCAAGCATATTTGAAATCAAGTTTCTGAACTATATGGATCAGAGATTCATGCTAGTTTGAGATCAAGAATTACAATAGTGGAATCGAGCTTCAGACATCACTTGATTCAAGTTTCTAACATATGTGGTACATAGATATGTTGCTGTGTAGAATCGTGATTCTAACATATTTGGAATCAAGTTTCCGAAATATTGAAGGGGTGAGTTGGTCAGGTGTCACTGGGTAGACTTTTTAGACATTAGGAGTACTGCAATACTATTTAGGAAGTGTCTGGTGTCATTGCGTAGAATGTTTAGACATCAGAGGAGTTTGGGTTTTCTCAAGCTCAAGCCATGACAGTGTGTGGTATAGGGCCCATAGGCAATGTCGCAGCTACAATGCTGCATGTTGTGCATGAAGGAAAGATGGTGGCATCGACAGGTGTTAGTGTATCATCTGAGGGGAATGTGGCGCCCCTTCAAGAGAATGAACTATCAAATTTAAATATTTAGAGTTTTAAAGTACTACTACTAACTACTAAATATGATGGTGATGTCTTTTGCAGGTAACAAAGGCGGTTATAACTTAATAACTATCGGAGCATTTGAAGTTTTGGTTTTTTGGAATAGATTTTTGGAACTGAGTAAAAAAAACATTACTAATAACCATTTTGCAATCGGTTGTAAAGCACTAAGCAATGTTGCAAGGCGAGACGTGGTGCAAGTTCACTTCAGCAATTCACATAACTATGAGCAAGGTAAAGAAACTATAGCAGTTTCCATCAACGTAAATATAAGAAACATAATAAAGATAATTAAAAAAGTAACACAACCTCATTAAATTCCTTCTAAAATACATGCTTTATAAATAATAATACCCCCTTCTAGTACACATGCCGCCTAATGGTATCATCTTGGACCTTAAAGCATGATAACCACTAGAAAATAAAGCATTACTTTTGTGGTTATTATTTACAAGAAACCAATGTTTTATACGATGTAGATGATTCAAAACCCTAACGAAACGAGCTCCATTACATGTAGAATCATGTATCATTTAACATGGAATCAAGATTTAAACCTCACTGGAAGCCAGATTCAATCTATTTGGGAGCGTCTACCCACAATTAGGGGGTTCAAGTTTCTCTAGATCTGTTGGATCGAGATTCCGAAATTTAGGAATCGACATTCCGAAACTAAGGAATCAAGTTTCCTTAGTTCCGAAAAATGTTTTAAAAGAAATGTTGAACCGAGATTCTGAAATTAAGGTAAGAAGTTTCCTTGGTTCCGAAAATAGGTTTTCAAATATGTGAGGAATCGAGATTCCAAAATTAAGGAATCGAGTTTCCTATGTTGCAAAAAAACGTTCCCACCTAGGTACGGAATCGAGATTCCGAAATAAAGGAAATCGAGTTTTCGAAGTTTAAAAAAACGGTTTTCATGGAGTTTCCTTAACGGAAACAGGTTTCGGAACCAGAATCGAGGGCTCCGAGGAGAGATTACGGCAACTATGGTTGGGTCATTTTGGGAGGGTGGCTTCGAATTCTGATTCTAGCTTATTTGTTTTGATGATTTAACTGATTTTTATGGATTTATGGGATTTATTCTGAGCAATAAAATCCGGTTTTCGAAACTATTCCAAGGTAATAACTAACAAGGTCAGTCCCCCCACACAGGACACCCAAATGGCCAAAGGGCGTCCACATGCCAACCTCATGGGGTCCCACATCCCCCCCCCCATGTGGAGATGACGTGGGGCTGACGTCAACCCCATGAGGGTACCCCCTTGTCATTTGATTTATTAATTTTTTAAGTTATGAAGTGTTGTATTTTAGAATTTCCAAAAATATTGAATTTTTGAAAATTAATTTAGGCACATTTTAAATGCTTAAAGCAAGTGGTTGTGCACATATGTGGAGAGTTCTAGAAGGGGTATAGGGTTTGTAATAACAAGCCTAACCGTAAGGGCATAAAAGGAAGGAATTTTCAAAGATTTATTTTGCTAGAAATTTTATTAAATGACCATAAGGGCATACCTCCATCTCGCTTTTAAGCTTTATTAAATGAGAAGAGCATGGCCATTTTGATAACAATGAAAATTGGAGTGAATTAAAGGAGGATAAAAGTGTTTAAATCTATACCACACATATTGATGGCATGATGGTAGATGGTGGGCTAGGATCGTGCCTCTCTTTGTAGTTTTTGTAGATAACATGAAAGGCCAAGATTCATCATCTAGAAGCATCTCCACACTTGAGGCTTGAAAAGTTATAAATACCCCCTTGAGTCACATTTCCTCACACATGAGATCACCTCACAAGTTTTCCCTCAAAAATGACACGCCCCTCACTCTTCACTCTCTCTTTGGTTGGCACACCCAAATCCTTCATCTTCTTTCATTCTCTCTTTAAAAAGCTTCTTCATGTTATGAGAGAGAAGAGCTCATTTGAAGGTCTCATGCGACTCCATTAATAGTGATCAAAACTCAAGTATTGGATGATCTAGTCTTCAAGCCTTCAACAAGTGAGTAAGGTCTTCCAATTTCCATTGATCTGGTTACTTTCCCTTTGCTGTAAATTCTCAATTACAACAATTTTTCTTCCCCCTTTGATGATTAGATCTTTGCTTCTTTGAATCGTCACAAATCTCACTTGATCCATGTAGTTTAAAGCTTCATCCATGCACAATTTGAAATAGTTTTCCATGAGATTTCTCCCTTGAGTTTTTAGAGTATATTTCTCTGAGTATTTTATGTTCGTATCAGTCTCTTAGATCACCTTCATGTCTTCTTAAATTGTTAATTTTACAAAGATAAACTATGTCAAATTTTCATGAGCCACTTTGTGAAGAAACTTGAACCGGTTTTGCTTTTAAAGAGCCAGATTTCTCCCACGAACTTTCCATTTGTTTAGATCTTTGAATCTCTGCAAATCCTTCCATATTTGAAGTGTATATCAGTAAGATGAGTTTCCCACTTTAGTAGATGATGAATTGGCCCAAATTTGTGATATGCCATAACATCTGGCACATAGCTAAGACCCAAAGCTGTAAACCAGGCACTCGAGAGCTCCGATTGGCTTCCCATGGTCATACACTTTATACTTGAGCAATTGTTATATTAACGTAATGGAGATCATGTTGTGATACGTTTTCAAGTGTCGATTGATGTATAATTTTGTTTTGTAAGTTTGTGCAGTGCTGAATTTTCAAGAACACACTATTCATGTGTAGTTCGATGATCTCTCTTTATAGCTTGTCATGTACATTTATAAGGGACCTCAACAGAATAGTATCCTCTCTTTTTAGTGTATTTTGGAGTCATTAAGTCACTGTAGTTACAGTGACCTTGCTGTAATTTCATTTTGGAAGTTGTAATTCAAGTGTATTGAAGAAATTTTAAATTTGTAGTGGCTAGTTCTTTTCTACTTTGTAGTGCATTGCAAGAGATTCGGTTTCTTATACATACATACAAATCTTGACTATTTACCCTGAGGGAATTCACTTACTCTATTCACCCATAAAAATGTTGCAACTCATCCTAAGAGGGCACAATATGCCTTACAACAAGTTCTAACCTCTACCGGAACCATAATAAATTCATGATTGAACTTCCATAAACTTCAGAAACAATTATCATTCAGGAAAGCAACAGAAGCAGATTCACTTCAGAGGAAAGTCCATGCACATAATCTTTCTATGGAACCACAGATGAAATGCAACAGAACAGAAGATAAATTTGGTATAACACGAGGTAGAATAGCATATTTAAAGCTCAATCACTTACTCAGCACTAGAAATCTAATGAACTGGGAAAGCTATTACACAATGTCAAAACGAAAGAGATTCAGAAGAATGCAAGATTAGGTAAGGTAGGCCATGATTCAAGAGAACCATGTCAAGCAACTGAAACACAATCAGGAAGGAGAGAAAACTTGGGTTCACAATAGAGCTACAAAATCATCAAGCAATACTAGAAATAAGCATGTAAAGGGGAAATATGTTTGGAAAACTAAAGCTTGACAACCACAAAAAATAATGTGAAAGTTTTTCAAAATACAATATAAAGCAATAGTGTTTCATCGACTAGTTGTTTTTATACCTTAGTGTGCAACCCGGTATCTGTCACATTTATCAACTGAAAAACTCGTGCCGCAAGTTCTGCATCAATTAGCTCTTGTGGCTCTGCACTGTACAAAGAAAAGTAAAATGGGGCATCATAAATTGCATCCGAAATTTCACAGCTCCAGCCACAGTAATGCATTGTTTACCTGCAACCAGTGGTCTGTTTGATCTTGAAAATGGCAGCTATAATATGAACAACCCAAGCCAGTTGTCCTTCCACCACAAAAAGATCATCTATATCTCCAGTAGATGGCAATCTGGCTCTTTCCTGACGGTGCATTGATCAAATTATCATCCAATACAAAAGATCCCGAAAATAACCGAGTAAAAAAATATATTTTTCTTAAGTACTCAAGAAAATAGAGGATCTGAAAATAATTCAATGTAATTGTACCGTGTATGACTGCAGAATGGGCTCCAAAAGCTTAATAATATATAAGCTACTGCCTTCATACTGCAATTCATGGAAGATAGCACATGGATCCAGAAATCAGCATTACAATTAAGAGGATACCAATAAAGCAATTATTGTAATTGGCTAATACTAGGCCCAGACATAACTAGGCAAGATAATGGAAGTCATTTGTTAAGCTTCAATTGCTCTAAAAGAACAAAAAAAACAACAGAAAATGTCCCAACCTGGAATCTGCAAAGGTATGGAAAGCTATCAAGTTGGTCCTGAAGAAGTTCAACGTTATCCAGAGGGTCTTCCGAGAGATCATCAAGTAATGCAGCCTGTCATTAACATATTAGCAAACACAAAGAGACGACAAAATCAGTATAGGAAAGAGAAAGCAGAAATGACCAAATTGAGAAGTTGTTAACACAGGTTAAAGTCAAGCAGCAAATATAAAGTGATGAACCTGCACTTTATTTATTTATGGGAAATTTATCTAAATCGACCAGATGAAGTAATAACATTTTGCCGAATTGAGACTATTCCAACTCAAGACTGTATTTTTTATAGGTATTTTGAAATTAAGTTAAAAGATATGCATAAAATGCTAAATTGTTAATCTGTTGTGGGTCTTAGATAAATTTCCCTTTATTTATTTATTTTAAGTGACGAACCTGCACTGAACTGAATCTAGACGCAATAAAACCTTCAGTTATTTTGGGCACAAATTCATCTAGCAGGCTTGGAGTGTCGCTTTTCAGATATGGCACTGATGTAACTAGTCTGGACCAAAGCCCTAAAAGGTAATACACACTGCTGCTGGCCCACTGAAAAAAAATAGCAAACATGAAAGCTCTCAATTTCAGACAAGATGTAACATATCAAAACATAAAATAGTGAATAACACAAACCTGCCATGACTGCAAAGACCTTGACGTGAACTCCGCTACTAATCTAATCCAGTCACTGTAGCCTTCCACATTTACAAGCTCGGATAACTGAAAAGAACACTATAACAGTTCTAGATTTTCAAAAACTTATGAGTTAAACATTTTTTGCAACAGTAGGGATAATAATAAAAAGTTTACAATAATCAGAATAGACAAACAAGCATGCAAATTGTTAAGGTATCATATGCATCACATTCCAACAGGTTCCCAGTTGAAAGCATGAAGAACAAGCACAAGAAATACTCCCATCTTGATGCTAAACCAAGCACATCTACAGAACCATTCTTGAAGAAAGTGCTACAAGAAAGCCGAGGCCACAAGTCAGGCCTAGAGAAATCCTAAGGGATTGTGTTATTCCAGAGTGCAAGAGCTGTGACACAACAAGGTCTAGGGACACTCAGCAAACCAAATGTGGACCACCTCGGAGCAAGCCAGCAATAGAATAAAACCATTACCAATTGCTAATGTTTCTTGTGGGAGTTTCTAGCAAAAACAAATCACTTCACTGAGAATAGGGATTTGTGATCTATGATGTAATTAAGATATCGGAAATTCAGGCTATATACACATAGGTCATAAAAAATGCCTCTACTGATAAAGGCCACATAGGTCATCAAGATGCCGCGTTAGTATCATTTTTATTCTTTTTGCTCTTTTTGTATTTGCTTTTAATATTAATAAAAAGATTGTTATCAATCAAAAATTTATAATAATCATCAACAGATATGAGCTGATTTTTATAAGTCGATATTACAAGAAAAATATGCTGAAACTCGTATACATAGTGAAACTTCCAATCCCGATAGACTATTGTTGATTCTCAGTTCATTAACCACAATCTATCAAGTCAGTCAAGAAAACTGCAGCCACATCTTGCTCCACATGTCATCCAGTGTAATTTGATATAGGTGCATCTGCCTTCTTGTCCTCAGGTGCAATCCCATTTCAACAATGTCACTTATCCCTCAATCTAATGCTCAAGTTGCTTAAGCAAGCGTAGGCATGGTTAGAGAAGCCATCGGGTAAACCAGATACTGACATCCATCCACTTGATACATTAAAAATAGAGCCATGTGACCATACGACTTGATTTGTAGAATTCTTTTCTTTTTGGAGATTTAACTTGACCTCTATAATAAGACCGGGCAAGTCCACACTAATCTTTTGTTTTATAATTTGACATGCATGAGACAAATCATAAACCCTAGCCACAACCCCTCAAAGACCTTCAAGGTTCAAGTCAGGATCAATGATATCCACTTCTTATCCACCTACACATCCAGTACTACTCCACAAAACTTTCCATTTTTCCCAAAATACTTTAAATACTTGAAACATTTTCCAAAACAAATAATTATATCAAACCAAATAAAATTAAATATTTGTGAGACAACTTTGTTCCAAATTATTGGGGCACCAACAAAAGGTTAAAGAGCGGTTTTAGCTGGAAAATCTCCTGTCAAGTTAGATCAAATTACAGGTGGTACAAATCCACAAATACAGCACCTACATGTTTTATACAACATAATCAAATTTTTAATTTACCCTGAAAGTCTTTTATTTGGTTATACCTGCCTCTTAGAATTAAATCGATGTTGTAAGACTTAGTATTTTAAAACTCAGAACTCGCCAAAATCAACTTTGCTCGAGCGCGTGCTGATTTTTACAAGAGTTCAACTCACCATCAGGCAGCTTTGGAAAGAATTGCCCAAGTTTTTACAGGACTCGCCACATTGGTGATAAGACTTAGGAGATCTCCCAAGTTTTGAGTGAGCTGCCTAAGACCTGTTGAGTTTTACAGGCTGTACAATCTTCTCAAAAAGCGCAAGTAAATCTTCCATTTCTTGTTGCATATTTTAACATTTAAGAGAGTAGGGGAATCCTATGCCTATTTTGAATTTACATACCCCTCTCATCAAAAAAATTAAAAATTGAAAGCCCCGAAATAGTAATAGACAACAGATTTTGGAAATTTATTAAGAAGGGTTTGCGTCTTGACAAGAAACTTCATGAGCAATTGACAAAGAGCATCCAATCACTAAGACACAATATTGGACAAACAAATCAATCCAAAAGCTCAGGAGGAGTTTATTTTCAGTATTTGAATCTTTCGCCCCAGAGATTGTAAAAAGGATCATTTCCATCGAAACAGATTTGGAGATCTGCTACCCTTCAGTTACAAGGTATCCGTTTCCTTAGTTTATTTTCCATCTCGTGTTATTTTCTACCAAAAACACCATATCTTTAGAAATGTCTATGGATTTATTTCATGAATTTACTAGTTACTTTCTCTTTTAGCAATTTCCCATATTTAGAATAAAAAAGAAACAAAATACCAAACATAAAAAAAATGATTTAATATTTTGTTACTTTTTGAAGAAACTGGACTTTGTGCTCAAGATGTTTTACAGTATCGTTAGATCTATGAAATATCATCAAGATCCACTCGTGTTTGCATATTTAGCAATCATTCAAAAATTTAAATTTCAAAAGAATATAATTAAATCTGAGAAATAATTTCAGTTTCTTTATTATTTGAACAAGAAGCCAATATTTTCCCCCAAAATTAGTAGAAACTAAAGAAATTATAATTCTACTATGGTTTTCTTAATTTTCCCATTTTCCTCATATTTTTCCTATGGTTTTTTGAACTTAACATAATACTAAAAACTAGCATAAAACTCACCTAGTCAACTCACTTCGGTCACCTGGTGAGTTCCACGGCAAGTCTAAGTTTCAAAACATGGAATGAAGCCATTATTCACTATTTAAACTTCAGATGATCAAATGTTCAAAGCTATCCCGTAATGTTTCTCTGTGTTTGCCTTAGGAATTCTCAACGGGGAAGCCGATGGACAATGCCACATAGTAAAAAAAAATGTTCTATTGAGACTACAATTGAGGTAATTGGCATTAATTTGCTATGCCTATTATTCCCGCCCTATCAAAATTAGATTTGCATCTCTGGCACTTACGAATTGGACACTTCACTTCAGATAGAAGTAGTGTTACTAGAATCAGACCGGCCAACTAAACAATAAAGGGTGTAGTCCAATCAAAACTAGTTTGACCACTTGTCGAACAAACCGGACAAGATTTTTAACAAATAAATAAAAATTAAGTATAATAGATAAAAAAATTATGATATATATTATAAGAAAGTCCCAAACCTTATTAAGCCTGCCTAACCGGTTAAAACAAGCTAATCTAACTAGCAAAAAACGGTCAAACATTAGTTTTCAATCAAATTTGATTTCTTATTTGGACTAGACAGGCCAAGGCACCGGTTGGCAATCCAACGTCGGACCAGCCAAACCGGTCCAGTCTTGATAACTAACGATAAAACCATGCAAATTTTTTGACTTATAAGGATTTGTTCCTTTCAATGTTGTCAATGAATGTTAATAATGAACTAGATTATAGTTTAGAGAGGCTAAATAATGAAGCAACTTTGCTAGCTACTGGAGTAAAAGTAGATCTTTTCGTCCACTTTGTACATGGACCTTCATCTATTCAGACTATTCTTTCAAAACCATAGGTTTATTGCCACTTTTTCTTTGAGATGAAGCCTTCAGATATTTCAGTCCTATGCCCTAAAGGGAAAAAGTTGAAGAACTAATGCAGCTATTGCTTTCCATAAAATTATTCAAATTCAATTAAAATTTCATCTATAATGATCCAAAAAGAATCTCGTGGGAAATATATGTCCAAGAAATTCACAAACTTCTCCAGTTGCATGGCATGAAACATCAAACTCATGTATCAATACCCCTAAACAGAATTGATGTTGCAGAACATCAAAATAGACACAGAAAAACTACAGATGCATTATTTCTTCAGTCCACTCACATTGTGAGAAAACTTCAAGTGAGTGAAAATTTTATGCATTCAGCATTGTCAATTTTTCAATACTAACCAATCTCAATAACTGATAAATACAACAAATTGCACGCTACCTGATAATTCACCTTGAAGCGACCAAGAAGGCGACAATATTCATGATAGTTATCATGATCAGCCAGACCTGTTGAAAAGCCAATTACATTAATATCCAAGGAACTTGGAGAAAAGAAGACACATGAACAGAAAATTCTGAAGACAGATCAAGAATAAAAATAGTGATCTTAACACTTCAAAAAAGCCAATGCTCACTAAACCACCAGGAAGCACAAATAAATGATCAAGCCTCTATGACATCCAAAATGAAACACAACAGTGAACAAGCAAGAAAATGTTGTATATAGTTGGGATACTGAATCACAGGCAGTACTTTTAAAGAGCCAACTGATCTAAATCACTAAGCAACTTTCTGCAATGATTGGGAGATGCACAATATCAGTGCCGAAGATGGTATCAATACATGACCTTTAGTTATAAGCAAGTATCTCCATTGTCCACTTAAAACATTAATGTAGGAGAACCAAACTAGCACAATCGAAGGTAATCACAAGAGAAATAATATAAAAAGCAAAGCAAGTCTTCCTTGCCAGGGCTCAATGATCTCAATTTCAACAGACACATTATACAAATCTCAAAATCTCTAGATTATAAAGAAAGAACCTCCTAACCCCTTGTTCATAGCCATAGCCACAAATTCTAACCCTAATTGAACTTCCATAAAAGTTCCACGTGAATACTGATCAAAATAGCAAAAATCAAGTACAATGGAAGGAAATCACAAGAGAAATAATATAAAAAGCAAAGCAAGTCTTCCTTGTAATGATCCCAATTTCAATAGACACATTATACAAATCTCTAAATTATAAAGAAAGAGCCTCCTAACCTCTTGTTTATAGCCATAACCACAAATTCTAACCCTAATTGAACTTCCATAAAAGTTCCATGTGAATACTAATCAAAATAGCAACTGCTAAATCTACAAAACTACCCTTAACGAGAAATACGAAACACACCCAGAAACTCGTGAACAGTCCAGAAACAAAAAAGTAACTGTCATTTCCTACTAACCTGAGTGGAATTGGGCTAAATCCACCTTATTTCATTTGACAGTGTTGTTCTCTACTAAAGCTACCCCAACCACTATATAATAACACCTATTTCTGTAACCAACAACAGATATGGGAATTTTGCATATAACACAAAACATTCCACATCAGTCCTAAAAAAATTGGAATGCTGCAGGAGTCCTACATTCTATTTTCCCCAGGTTTCCTTCTTAGATTTTGCCTTAGGCCATGGGCAGGCTTAGGAACTGCATCAAATATCTTCCAAGGAGATCTAGTAACATGGTTTTGACACAATACTTTTACTCCGCAGAAACCAGGGGAAAATACCGAAATAAATGCAGTGTGAAACCATGAACATGATCAGAGAGATATAACAATCTGGTCCTCACACATAGGAATCTATGCTCATTGCACAAAAACAGATATAAGAATAGCACAACTTGAACCCAAAGTCCAAAAAGGTTTCTATAGTTATTGAATTAAGTGCTAAATACCTCAAACAAGATGTAAATGGGACAAAAGAACATTTTGGGACCTCAAATTAGGAGCAAATAAAGTTCCAAAGAATTTTCCTCGCTTAAAAGCCTGGTATCACCTTTAAGCATTCATTGGATCCTTCTGTTTTACCAGCACCATAACAAATGAGAAGTACTTATTCATACGTCAATGCCTGCTTAAAACCCTGTTATCACATTTACCCATTCATTTAATTCGTCCTTTGCCCCCGTACTAATGACTACCTTAATCTACTGCCACTACATAAAGAAGGATTATAGCCAGAGAAAATTACGCAATAAGTAATTGATGTTGCCGGAACAACAAGGGCTGCAGCACATTTACACATGTAAAAGAAGGCGAACCTCAAAAACTTGAAGTGGCCCAGTACAGATGATTGAAGGAAGTTCTCTATGAAATCTGGTACAGACCCTTTCTAAGCAAAGGCTTTCTGGTAACCAGATTCTTCTCATTTGCAATTTTACATAGATATAAAACTGTGTTAAAAGGTGTTGTACAATATTTAGACCGTGTTTGGGAAAAGTGTAAAATGGATTATTTAACTAATTGGTTATCAGAAACGCCATTTGCACTGGAGCCAGCTCCCAAGGCAATTTTTTCAATAGGAGAGAAAAGACCGTGTGATGCCTTTAATTTCCTATTGCACTATTTACAATGGAATGTGTGCTAATAATGTAAGTGAGGGGATCTAATTTGGGTGTCATGAGAAGACCTTCAATTTTTCCATACAGTTCTACACATGATGGAACAAGGAACTACTACAAGCAGCCATAGTCCTGAGCATAGATACATTGACAAAGCAGTTTCTTTGTTCTCAAGATAAAGCACATCAATGCCAGCAAAAAGAATAAGGGTACAAAATTTCAGTTGGGGAATAAAAATTATGGCAGAAGAGAAGAAAATTCATAATATGGCTCTAGTTATATTAAATACAAAGGAGAACCTACATTATCAAAAAAAAAAAATACAAAGGTGAACCTTGCCCAGACTGCAGTATATCCTTGGTTCCAGTCATCAAATGGGCGAGGAACTTGGATCTTTCTGTGTCATTTGTAAACAAAGACCGTCGTACAGAGGCGAGGCGCACTAAACATTCCAACGCCTGACAATCCAACATGAGCATATCAATGCTTCCACTAGAGTGCAATGAAGGAGTGTGACAAGCAAACAGCCCGAGAAAATTTTCCAAATAAAGATCAATATATCTTTAGTAAACAAAACAGTGAATGGAGAAATGGAGCACTGGTAATGCTTAATTGGCTTCATTAAACATAATCATTGGCTTCATTAAACATAACAATAGAATCAAAGTAAAATATCTATCAGAATAAGTTGACATCCAAGAGACACTAATCAGAAGCTATTTACGAGAAATTTGTTTATTATCCTAAAAGCAGGAATCATTAACCATGCACTGTCGTCTTGAAGAAACATAGGATGATGACTAAATTATGGATAAGGCATTTAGATTCTCTCAAAACTACAACCATTTTTTAAGATGACCAACATGTAACACACAGTAGAAATGTTAACATATAAATAACAACTTAAAATAACAGAATATTTGGCACGTAAATGATAAATCCAAGCCAAAAATTAGAATTCAGGATGTGACTTCCTTAGAAAGGCCGCCAGTGTCCTCGCCCTTAGCTAAAACATTCCTCATTAGGCCTCTTAAGACATATTCCACTTCACTGATTCCCACAGACTTCTCAAACATAATTCCACATCACTGATGCCACAAAATATGAAGAGCTAATTGCATGGCAGTTAGTTGCATAATGGACCGACTGAACCTAGCACAAATGGGTTACTAAATATTGTGATGAAGTCTACTCAAACTAGTGGCAGCATTGACCAATGACATAGAAGCCAAGTAGAAAACATCAACAGTCTTCCAACGACCAAAACTATGTTGAATTTGAAAGAGATTCTAACTCCCACACAACTTTATTCAATTACATACTTAATCTACTTCAATATGTGAGTTTGTACAAGGCATGATAAAAAAAAGAGCAGAAATTTAGAACAGTTACACAAAGCAAGAAACCAGACATGAGATAATAGGGTTGAACATTAGGAATGGAATATCAGATGTCATTGAAGTCCAGAGATAAGAATAAATTGTGACAGGAGACAAAGAGGAACACAGGCCCAGATGAATTGAAGAACAGAACCCAGGAAGAAACTGAATTGCCGCTAAATCTTATACCCTCCCTTAAGGAACACTTGTAAGACACTTAAGTAACTTTCCATTCATATTGTTTGAAGGATATAAATCATAAGATCAGATCCCTTTTATTTTTTTAATTTTTTTAAAGTTAATTTGTACCTACCTAGGAATGGAACTCCAGATGTCACAATGAGGCACCTACCACCCTGACCACCCCAGCCTAGAGGCCATTCCAAACCTTAAGATCAGATCCTATGGTCATTATCCCACTGCCTGGATAGCTCACAGTGATATGGATTAAAGAATCGCTAACATAAATGAAATAAAATAAAACAATGACCCTTATGCAAACTTACACCAAAGAGATCCCAAAACTTTATACAAGAAACTTAAAATCAAACAAATAAAACACAGTATATTAATGACTATTGTGCCCATTGCTATGCTGCCATGCATCAATCCCTAGGTGACCAAACCGCCATCTTCTCAAACATGCATACATTCAACGCCAGGACGACACCAACAATCTCACCCAAACAGAGAACCAACCAGCTTAAGAATGCTACACCTTTCTTAAATAAAACCTCCAGAAAACATTTCCCTATTTTCAAGAGAAGAATGGAGTAAATTTTAATTCCTGCAGGGCGGTTTCATTAGAAGATCATGGAAGTCACCACAGGAAGCCAAAGATTCAGAACAATGAAGTAGAGCATTATTATCTGTGTGCTTAATAGACAAAGAGCAATCTTCAGCATTGGCATTGAATCAGGTGTAAACCGTCTACTTATGTATTTTCAAAAAAAAAAAATGAAAAAATTGAGCACTATTATAGGGTCACCTCTAAAGTGAGGAGCTACTCAAGAGGACAACAAGGATTGTCTCGTTCAGAGGCCTCCCCAAACCACCATCACTGCATAAAGCGGTCTTATTTTGGCATGTCTAATAAAAACAATGATCAATCACTTACATAGTTATTTTGCCATCAAATCATCTGGAGCAGTGAGGATGAGTGAAGCATGGACCATTTGTTCTCCATTGCCTCTATACATGAGCCAGCTTGGTGAAGTATTCAAAAGCTCAGGATATCCTCATTTGTTTAACTCCTTTTTTTCTTTTTTTCGTCTCTCTCTCTTTTTCTTTTTTGAGAAGAGAGAAGCGGGAGATTGGGTTCGGTTAGAAAACTTTTCCTTTATTTTTCGAGAGAAGGAATCTGATGACTCATGACAGATAGTCACCGAGGATCCATGCCGAAAGACTGGACATATGTTCACATGGTTTACCCCTCTAATAGAAGCCTTGAAGCTCAACTGTGATGGCAATACCAAAGAAAGTCTTGGTCCCCAGTTTCATAGGTGTAACAAAAATGAGGAGATCATCAAGATTTTTGCTGATGAGTAATGAACAAAAAGACTCAAACCAAACACATGGACCCTTGGGGATTTATTATCAAGGGCAAGACTCTTTATGTTATTAAGTAATTTAGGCAGGGGAATCAAGCAACAAAAGATTAATTTAAAAGAAATCAAGGATTTGACAAGTGATGCAACTCTCTCTCTCTATCTCTCTCTCTCTC